AACTTTGCGAAATCTCCCTTTTTTTATTATCAAGTTTTAAGTCAGAATATTTAGAATTTTTCTTCAAAATTCTGTATTAAACGCTAAATATCTTTAGTTCTATTTCATTGTCATTTTAAATTTTTTTTAATAGTTTTGTTCAAAACACAGGTATTTTTGTTCAAAACACATTTTTAAATGATATGTTTATTTCAAATGTTTATTTCGTTCAAAACACATTTTTGATCTAAAAAAAAAATGATTCCGAAATTTATGCATTATAATTTGCCTTACAGCTGTTAACGCGGCATGAAAATTTTTAATTTTTAAACTTAAATTTGTCCCTATTTTGAAAAATATTTTATAAATTTTTAAACTTTACACATTTATAATTTTAGGATCCTCGTTTACTAAACATAAGACTAAAATTTTAATTAAGCTTTTTCACTAAAAGAAATTGTGTTTAAACCAGTCTAATGCCATATAAGCTGATTAAAAATAACTGTTATTCTTTAAAATCGCTTCATTAGCTGTTATTAGTAAAAATAATTTTTCTCTTAAATATCAGGATTTAGTGAAATAATATTAGTTTTGCTAAAACAAATATGTTTGTCACGTGACCAGAATGTAATATTTCTACTTTAAAATATTTTTAACTAAATGTTTTAAAAAATTTAAAATTTCTACTGAACTTTTCTTCATTTTATCACATTTAACTTGTTTATTGCGAAACTTTAGAATGAGCTTTAAATAATTCTTGAAATTACTTTTTTTTTCGAATCTCATACCATTGTTCTACTTTATTGAAAACATAAAAAAGAAGTAATATATGAATAAAATATTACTATTGTTCTTTTCCTTTTAAATATTAAAATGTTTATTAATAATAAGTAGAAATTCCTCTTTGTAGGGATAAATTATGTAGTGTTAGTAAAGTTTATGGCTTTAAAATTTTATTTTTAGTTAGGTTAAGTGATTTTTCTTCCACTAGTATTTATAAATAATCGAAACATATACTACATATATTTTGTGGCGAGGCTTTTAACGCCAACCCAGAAACGAATGGTATTACCAGAACGCCGGCGTCATCAAAATAACAGAGTAAAGGACATGCCGGCCTATCTATCGCTTATATAACCTTTTTTTGTCCTTGACAGCTAATTTTTTCAATCTTGTATAAATATGTAAATACATGTATGTAGTTTTTCTATTATTTTTAATTTTACTACACCTGCGTAAATGTTAATATTATTCTGACCGCTGTAAATATTATTATATTCTAATCTAGTTTAATCTCAATTAAGTTAGATTTTCCTATCGATTTCATCACATTTTCGGGGATTGGTTTCTCTCCCATGACTTTACACTTTGGTACTTGGCAATCCCTCTCTCCCCAAATCTTCTCCCACTTCACAGATTCCCCCATTATATGAACGAATTGTGGTCTTTGATTCATTAAGATTGAGTCTTAGAACGTGAAAATCCGATCATTAGGATCAAAAGCTATAGGTCCGTTCTTTATTTTGCGCATTGCACATATTTGTCTATATAAAAGTAATAATTTTTTTATTTATGATACCACTTTCTTATTTTTAAAAAAGTAAAAGATATTTTTCAAAAATGCGCGGTTGAATTAGCATTGAATAGAATAGTTATGCATTCTAAAAGAGGGCAAAAGCTGCTTGTATAAACATGATACATTAGCAATCAAAATGAAGATAAAACAAGGAAAAATTATAAACATATGAAAAAAAAGGGGCGGGGGAATAATAAGTAAAAAGATAACAAACAAAAGTTAAAAAAAAAAAAGGATGAAATTTTATTTAAAAAAAAAACGGAAAAAAGAGATATAATCCTTTTATCAGCCCACACGATTATATCCACGAAACAGAGTGCTTTCTGATATTGTATTAATAAAGCCAAAGCAAAATATATTAATACAATAGTGTGAGAAGCACTCAAAAAAATTTTTTTTGCAAAAATTACAGCAAATAAAATAGAACACAAAAAGTAAAAATAACATGTAAAAACAGAAAATAAAATAAAAGAAAAAGAAAAAACAGTATAAAAAATGGACTATAAAGCGAGTAGCAAAATCAGATCTACTTACATGGACGGGAAANGATTAAGCTTTGTTTACCTTGGACGTCAATTATACGGAAAAATCAAATATACGGACTTCGGGAAGTCCCGCCGATTCCGGATACGCGACTTTCCACTGTATATACTAGAGGGCTCCGCCCCCTGCTCACCAACCCCCGATATTTGATACGCAATTACATTTTTGTCTACGCAATTGCATTCTTCGCGAACAAATTTAAAATCGTTTTCCTGGAGATCAGCTCGCAATTTTTCTGCACCAACATCACATAAAGAGAATATGATAGGATTGTAAAATCTCTTATGTGGTGCTTATTATCAGCATTATAAACTTATCTAAAGCAATTTTAATGCAAACAATATTATAAACTTATATAAAGCGAGGAAGCAATATTATTTAACACAATACTATAGGACATTAGCTGGAAATTAATCTCCGTATCCGAAGCACGCATGACAGAGCCTAACTCAAATCAATGTTGATCTTATAGGATACCGGACTCTTCCTATATGGTGCTTCATCTCGCCCCCCCCCATTAATTTAAATTTTAAACTGAAAACAATTAAAACCTGATGAAAAAAATTTAAAATATGGCAAACAAATTAAAACATGCAATATTTATAAGTTGATGCTAAGTAATATTCCAAAAGCAAATACCATTGCAAGTTATTGCCCAATTAACTTCAATACTGTTGACTGACAAAATATTTTAGATTCTATCAGACAAAAAGCAAATTATATAATAAAAACATATGTAACTGAAATTCGACAAATTAAATTAAGCAATTTAATTTTTTGGGTAGACTATACTTAAAGGTGCCCCTTGATTCTCGCCAAGTTGTGATCGCGGTTGATCGCCAAGCTGGGCGATGTTGAAACCCAATCGTGATTCTGATTGGTTTAGATTTTAGCGTTAGTTTTAAATGTTCAATGGTATATGTAATTTCAGAGGTCCGTTAGTTCTACGTTGGATACCGGCTGGTAACTTTTGCTTCGGGTCAATAAGATTGAAGGTATGTGGGCAGTCATAAAAAAGGACTTTAGAAAAAAATGTCACCGCAAGTCCGATACCACAGTCGCCATTTTCAATTCGTATTTCGCCGAATTTATGTGGCGATAGAGGAACACAGATTCTATTCATGATAAAATTAGACAGTATCTAACTGCCATTAGAGAATTCTGTGCACCTAAATCTGAGGATATTCAAGCTTAATGAAGATGTGAATTGTTTTTTTCCTTTTCTTTCTGTGCTTACTCCATTAACTTTTGTTTCGATTCAAGATGCATTTAATTGGTTTTATTAATTTTGCTTATATTGTGTTCATTGCAGCTTTATAAAGTTTTGGCCGATGTTTCGTTGAAATTTTCCAATGTTTTATTGAAATTACATTATGTTTTGGCAGAAATTCCTGTTACCACGGTGTTCCAAGCAAGCAGGAATGGCGCCAAACATAAGTCGCCAATTTCACCATTGGGCACCCTCAAATATATTTATACCAATTTTTTTTGTCATACTGAATACTAATAAAAACACAAATATAGAGTTAAATAATTATGTTATCAATGATCAATAAGCATTTTTGTCAGAATTTTTATAAAAAAATAAGGTGAAAACAATAAAATTGAAAACTATTTACAATAGATCTCTGAATATTCCAAAACCTAGCTATGTACATTTTTCTTTGATTTTTCTTTTTGCATCATTTTGTGTACGAATGATTTGCACTTTTATGCATTATTTAAGAAATATCACAAACAAATATAAACTGTTAATTAATATTTCTGTCTGAACAATTTTTTGAAAGTAAGTAAAAAACAATTAAAAGTAAGTAAAGGATATTATTCAAGTCTAAGATATTCATGGCGATCCATTTTATGTAACAAAGATATGAGTATTTTAAAGTAAAATCTGATCAATATATTTCACACATTCGATACAAATAAAAATCGCAACAAGCTTTAGTTGGTGAGTTTTGTTGTAGCACTTCTGCAGGCAGCATTATTAAAAATTACTACCTTTTCACAGACATGAGTTCTCAATTTTCATTGGCTGTTTAGTGCCTTACTAACCAGAAGTCTTCTGTGATTGGCTATGTATCCNATACACCATTTATCCAGAGTAATTTTTTTGCCCCCAACATGTTTCTTTTAAATTAAATATTTACAGATTGCTCAAAACATCCTATATATCTTACTTTTTATACGACTTTAAAATAATTTACCAGATCATCACTTAATAAACTGACCCATGTAATCGGGAACGGAATATTTGTTTGAAAACGTTAAGTAGCTACGATAAGTAAGTAGTTTAAATATCATTAATGCGTTATCAGTTTTTGCATAATTACATAACACTTCGCAGATCAAGGCAGTACGAAATGAAATTGAAAGTATTATAATAACAAATGATATTAAATTGAAAAAAGAATAATTAAAAAGATTTCTTTTATTAATTTAATTGGTGTGGTCAATTGTTTGAAAACAATTTATATTGCAAGGTTTTGGGGAAAAGTTTATAAAATTACTTTTTTTTGTATTATTTCTTTTATTAATTTTTCTCTGAATAATATGAAACTAATAATCAGTTATAGTTAAATAAATATTTGAACAATTATGAATAGATAGTAAATTTTATATATTACTCTTATTAACGCAATCTTAATTATTTAATTCAAATTTCTGGCGTAATTGTGAATATCCTCAACTCTAAATCTTTCTTCGAAGAATGTTGTTTTCCTTCCTTTTTATTTTTTAAAGGTTGAAAAACTCATTTAACGAAGTATTTCGTATTACGAAAGATTTACAAACGCAAATAAAAAAAAAAATGTTGTTTCAGCATTCTTAGCGGAAATAGATCGGATTTAATTTCAACATTTTCATTCCTTCTATCTCGCTGCAATCGAATATAATATCTTTCATTTCTCGTTTAGCCTTTCATTTCATTCCAACAGGTGATGTTTATTCGAAAAATAGAATTTTCTCGTTCTATTTCAGGGAAAGAAAAACAAAAATTCTAACTTTTCCTCAATGCTCGCCAAGTGAAATGTTTTAGCGGATATCATAATGCTTTGCACACGTCAAAACAAAACGTTTGTTTCAGTGTTCTCTTAATAAAATCCTCTTATCTGTCGACTGTCATAAGTGTAATTGACTCAATTTACGAGGAGAGGCCGTCTCCCTTTTGTAGAACTTTTTTATTACCATTTCTTCATGATTTCGTCCTTGGCGATGTATTTTACCAGCATTAAGCAGGAAGTCACCACTTTAGCAGAGAGATGTGCGTACGACTTGTCGCCAACGGCCCACTGCTTTTCCGAATCAAATCCAGGAAAGATTTCTCATTCGCTGGGTGCGAAAACGAGATGATGAAAGCGAGCGGAGGCAGGTGAGACAATATTCGAATAGCTATTTAATAAACCGACGATGAGCGAATCATCCGGTGAGCGCAAATGGAACTTTAAATCAGATGAAGCAATCGCTTCGAATGCTTCAGATAAGATATCGAATTCTAAATCAAGCAGAACAAGTCCCAAGCCCCCAAGAAGATGTCAAACGCCCGACTTCAAAGCAAATCGAAAACTTTATCTGCCTTCCCGCCCCCCTGTGCTCGAAGTCAAATCTCGACTTACCTTTGGAACTCCGGATTGTTTGTCTAAACTCGATGAGCAAACGATATCGTCACCCGAAGAAGAACGATTGGTTCGGACTCCATCATTCCTATCTAACGAAAGTTCCTTTCGATTTAATGATGCTGATAGTCTGCCCAAGACGGTGCCTTTTGGCCGAAGTCGAAGGATGTCCCGATCTTTACCGGAATTGCGTGATCTCCAGTTTGTTTCTGTGTTGCCGGACGTTGAAGAGGAAGAGTCAGAAGACTCTGATTTTCAGGGAGAAGAGGTGGTGTATGAGAAACCAAATAAATCCAGGATACCATGGCACCGGAAACTGGATTTTTTGTGGTGCAGTGCTTGTCAGGCTCTGGGATTAAGCAATATATGGAGATTTCCTTATTACTGTTACAGCAACGGTGGAGGTAAGTTTACATTTTTTTTTAAAATCATTAAATAGAAGCTTTAAAAATTGAATAATGCGAGCAGATATATTTAAACAAATAATCTAATTTTATCAAATTTGTGACCGCCAAAAACATGTAATTTTTTAATTAAATGTTGCTATATGAGAATGATACTAGGTTTTTTTCTTCAAGGGGAATAGGATAAGCTTGCTAAAATGGCCAGTTTCAGTATATCGTCATTATTCGGTATATTGTATCGATATTCAGCATATCGTATCATGGAGAGAGCGAAACAATATGCTAAAAATTTTAATTTTTTTTATTTTGATAAAAATGTCAATTAGTTTATGCGCAAATACCGTACCGCATTTTTCTTCTTAAATAAAGGTACTTTTTACATCACTACAAAATGTTGCATTATTACAGCGTTTGTTGTTTTATAGAAAAAAAATTTCTAATGGTTACAACATTTATGTTCGAATAAATAATTATTTGTTTAACCCTTTGTGCTTAAAGGAAGCCTCACTGTCACCTTTAAATCATTAACCACTCTAAATGTCAACATTTTTACACCTTAATGTCTAGTAACCATTTTATTTAGTGGTTTACAGGTAAAATTGTTCAGGCGTGTTTTGTCTAGTAAACTTTTAATGGTTGAGCACGTTTTTTACACAGTTTAAAGAACACAGAGTGTAAAAGGTTAACAAACTTTGTTTATAGCTGATTTGACTACTGCAATTCTGATTGACTGATACAATTTGTACGGAGTACTTAACCTATGGGATTAAATATTTGAATAGCACACCATCACTAAGGAAGAAGGCGGTGGCAGGACTGAATTTGGCGTTTGTGCCAAGAAGTTCGAGGTCTAAGATCTTGTTAAATTCAAATGTACCAACTCTTACGCATTTGGCGTAAAATTTTATTTCTACATTTAAAGAGGTAGTAAAATGTGTGCTTTCTATATATTCCTTGCAATTATAAATTTAATTTATAATCTTTCTGACCACCACTATTTTTGAAAAAATATTAAGCATATATATTAATGTATTAATATATTATGCTGTAATAGTATTCAGCATAAGCTCCTCTAAAATATAGTGTATGTTTCTATCTAAAATTGGAATGTAAATTCCATTTTACCAGCACTGGGGAAAATCATACTCGAAATAACTAAAAGTTGGCAGGTGTGCAACGCCAAGTAAGTTTTTTACTGAGTTCCCGCAGTCCTTGAAAAGTTTTAGTTGTGATAGTAAACTTAGGTGAATGCTAGAAGATATTTCTTACTTTAATATATTACTTTATCGTTTAAGTGGTTTAGAAGCTGGAATTTTCATCCAAATATCTTTAGAAAACAATTTTTAGCTGTGGTTACACAGAAATTAAAATATCGAAATTTTTTTTTATTTTCGTTACAATTTTTTAATATTTTCAAGGCCAGCGGGAGCCCTGTTTTAAAATGTTGGCGAAATTACCCAAAATTCTGAAAGCTTTGGTTTTTAAATGTCTACCACTCTATGAAATATTTTAAGGCTTAAATACATTAACTTAGATACAACTAGAATAAATTTTTACAAAAGTTGCTAGCCCTGTATTCTCCGCTATGTGGGTAAATTGATTCAAGTAGTAGTAAAAATTATGTTTCGACGCATGATTCTGAATTTGTTAAACCAGCGCTACTCATGAACAATTCAAAATTGATAAACACTACTTTGTTCAAGTTATGTTGTGATGAACCTCCTGAAATAACAACAAAATGATCCAAAATTCTGCAACTTTTTTTTTTTAATTTATCAGTTCATAAAATATTTTGTTTAAAGCTGAGTAATTGGTAACCGGTGTTGAACGGTCGACCCAATTCTGAGTTCAACACTGCCGTTGGGAGCGAAGATGCAGTATTTTCGATGTATAGTTAGTTGCCTTTTAAGAGCTTCTCCACGAGTCGGGTAGAAAAAAGTGGTTTTTATGTGAACTTTCAAGACATTTACAGGCAGTGGTGTGGAAAATAACTTTAAATGCATTTTACAAAATAAAGAATCCTACATAAAAAAAACGTAGACCTAACTACCACTGGAAGAAATTTTTCTTTAAACATTGAATTAGTCCTGTAATCACTAAAATTATATTATCTTTGATGTTATAATGTTGACGGTGATTAGGACCTAATAGAGGATTTACTGTAGTATGCCGTACTCGTTGTAACGAAATTTTACTGTACTTTTTAATGTGATGTCATAATTTATCCAGCGTATCTCAATTTAAAGTTTGGCTCTTGAATCATTGAGAATTAATATTCTGTTTTTTTCATTTGCTTAAAAAAGTTTTTGTTTGAAACTTTTACAGGGATGTCTCCGATTTCGGCAACAATTTTAAAAAATCGGTTGCGATTTAATTTTTAAAACTTGTAGAATAAGGTAAATTAAGCCTACTTTTCAAAAGTGTCACCATAAGGTAACTGCGATAAACTTACATTTTACTCGTATATTGTACTTCGAATTTTTGCTATGTTAGTGGTTGAGAAAGGACTTATAATGAAAAATACTAAGCTAAAAATTACTGAAATTTCGTTAGCATTATAAAATATTATTTTATATAACAGATCAAGATGGGAACCCTGCTTTTTCTGGCTCACCCATACAATTGAACTTCGTCGATTTAAATAATTTTTTCACTCAGACGAATTAGTTAGAGCCCCTAACGGGGCTGATACTAAGATACTTAATTTACTTAGGCATAGGCTATTTACTGGTGTCATATTCTAAAAAGTCCCAGTTTTCGCGATGACATGCCTATGATGTCTGTGGTAAAAGTCTTTAATGTTCGTATGTAGTAGCTAAATTTAGTAATTTTTCATTTTTTCAATTAAAAAAAACTACACCAAAAGCTGAAATTAAATTAAGGAAAAATGAGAAGAAAAATCACCAAAAACATGTTTTAGAGAAATACTAAACTGTTGGATATGAACTTTTAATCGTTTATATGCAAGGCAGCCAACTTTCCAGGCTTTTTGTAAAAAATTATTATAGTGGTAGCTAAGTTTATGTTTTAATATATTATTTTATATTCAATTAAACTTATTTTCGACGCCACTACATATATATGATTTAAAAGTTCATACGCAATGCCACTTTGTTCTAACTCTATCGCGGTGAGGCAATTTATGTTGTCAAAATTACCAAAACATTTGAGAGCTTTGATTTTTAAATGTCTGCTACTCTATTAAATATTTTGCAAAAAGCGTAGAAGTTGGTTGACCTATATAATGTAGTGGTATGGAAAAAGCGATCAAAGAATAATACATTAAAACATAAAGTTAGCTTCCACTTGAATAAATTTTTACAATGTTGATTGCACTGTATACCGTAAGCCGGGGCGAGTCTACCCATTTTTTTCAGTTTGTCAACTTTCAAGTGGTCAAACTTTTGTAAATATTAAAGAAAAAAGGCTTTTAATAGATAATATACCTTTAATA